CTCCACTTGACTACACTGCAAAAATGATCTAGAAATAAGTCAAAACGTCTTAAATTAAATGTATTTACCCTTAATTTGAGTAGGTAACTAAGATTAATTGCCAATGGGATGAGGAAATTTACTCTTAAAATAAGATAATTAGATAATATGCACTTAAAATAAGACAATAAATAAAGTTTTTTCATATTTTAAATGTAAATTGTCTTATTCCATTGGCAAAGTGTCTCACTTACCCCCTAAATTCAAGAAAAAAAAGCACTTATTTTAAGAAAAAATGACTTATGCAGATTTCGATTTTTTTCCAGTGTACAAGTTGGTGTCGGATCTGATTTCACTATATACCCTGGGCCTTGGACACCTGACCCAGTTGTCCCTCTCTGTCAGCGGAATTTAAAAAGCTGCCCCTTTAATTAAGCAGGTAATATCTCTGCTGGGAAAAGTTGTTCAAAGACTCTTTTCATTATTTCCTACAGCTGCATATTGAGATGCAAGAGCAAACTGTAGCCAAGGGGAGACACCTCTGCATGCATTTAGTTATCAAGAAAATATCATAAAGACTATTTCACATTACATCTTTGGACATGCAGATTCTCCACTTTCACTTTACAGGACCCCCTCCCTCTGAACAGGACTCCTCCTGTTGCCATCCAGATTAAAAACTGCTTAGTTTGGGTCAGACCTCCCATTGAACCAGGCAGTAGAATAGAACAGCAGTTATTTAGTGTAAAAGTCACCCAGCATTACCAGAGAACAAACCACTGAGGAGAAAACCAAGTGTAAAGGACAAAGGAGGTTAAGGAAGTATCAATAGTGAAGGATTGTGACAGAACGAGGTGCTTAACGGTGATACCTTCATGCCTGAAAGCTCACAGTTTACCACCAGCTTTGTCTCGGCGGACTCCTCCATCCCCACTCTGTCCCCAAAGCCGCCACAGGTTGCCTATAAATCATCACCATGCAGACCAACAACCACTAATAGAGACAGATAGTTCCTCTTAGACCACATTAATGAACTGTTGCTGCTGAAAACCAGACAGCCGATGGAGAGATCGATGCTGTTTTCTTTTTTGCATTCTCTACGGGCTCCACATCAGTTCAACACAGGTTCAATTACCAAGAGGCCGAATTTACTGGATCCACGGATCATTAAATTAGAAAGCTATGATCTTGAAAAGTGAACTAATCCAAGTCTGGTCTGAGTGGTGGAAACCTGGATGAGGCTGAAGTTTGGTTCAGATCTAAGACTATGTTAAGACATACTGATATTATTCAGCACGCTGACATGTAAAAGAGGACATTTGAGGCAACATCTAACTTAAATAAAAGAGAAGCTCAATATATATTACTGCAATAGAAAATGAAAGAAAAGTTTGGCATTTGCAGCTAATTAAGAAGAACCAGTGGTTAGCATAGATTTTTTTTTATCTGGATTAATCTCACTGTCATCTTGGAATTTATGTAGATTAAATAGTTCATTTGAATTCTGCCAAAGGCATTCATGATATGTGCGTGCTACCTAAATAAGTAAAAGTAAGGAGTGGCGGCCTAGCCGTAATCCTGCGTTCACACCGGACGCAGCAGGCGCAGCAGAAGCAGAGAGTTTCCATGCAAAGTCAATGGTTGACGCGGGTCAAGGCGCAGCAAAAGGTCTTTTGGTTAGCAGGCGCAGCGCATCTGAGCAGCTGAAGCAGCGCGTCGGGCGCGTTTAACCATCTGACGCGCGTGACACGCTGCAAACGCGCTGCTGCTCGAGATGGAAAAATTTAACTTTTGCTGCTCGACGCGCCGCGTCAACCAATCAGAGAAGCTTTTCTGGGAGCTGGCAGGGAGAGAGGAACATCGCTGATGATACAGAGCGGTATGATCACTCCTCTGAAACAGCTTATTGACGCCTAAATTAACTTAAAATGCAGAAATCTGCCGGCAGAATATGTT